TGGTACACCCATGCAGTTCAAATCCAGATGCAATTAGATGAACAGAATAAATCATTCTGAATTGTCTGGTGCCGCTCAGTTCAATTATGACGAGATCTCAAAGTGTTTTGTTGCGAGTATACTCTCAGCCTCAGGGCATACTGACACTAGAACTTTTTCCGACTGTGCTCTGGATGTGATTGCGGTCAGATTCATCCATGCTATCCCTTAGTTGCAGTCAGATACATTCGTGAAAGTCCTAGTGTGCCCAAGAAGATGCAGTCCGTCAGATTCTGAAGGGCTACGCAACTCCTCCTTTCTTTCCTTTTTGTTTAAGTCCAGGTTGTGGACGCCAGATTTAACTCCTTAAACCACCAGTACTTCGCTCAGCTATTGATGTCGAGCCTGAAGTGGACCTGCACGCCGTTTTTTTCCGAGCCTGTAGCGGGGGGAAATCGATTTCAATTGGAACATTTGTGGGCTGGCACTGGTACCGCCCCTTATTCTGGACCTGCTGCCAGCAGGAGGAACGAAACGGGTTGTAGCTCACTAGTTTTCAGTCATGCAGGCGTGAGACTGCTGCCCGATGTTGCATTGGTGATAGGACTTCAATGCCCCCGGTTTCTCACGGGGAGTCAATCAGATACTGCCGAGATTCTTTTTTTTTCTATTGCAACAACGGAAATGGAAAAAAAAAAAAAAAATGGCTTTCTAGGGACGGCCTTCAGTTTCATGAGTACATGGCAAGGATTCAGGGAGGATACATTCTTGAGAGAGTTCTTTCTTGAGTCACATGAGATACAGCTGAGTTTTTTTTTTTTTTTTTTTTTTTTTTTGTTGTTGTTGTTGTTGCAAGAAGAAGAAAAGAATGGCAGAAAAGGTGGCTGCACGTCTTCCTTCCTATTCATGAGTATCTGCCCACAACTGAGGGAGAGTACATTCTCGGGGTAGTGCTTCCCTTTGGGGCACGCCAGATACAGCCCAGATTCTTCTTTTTTTTCCTTTCTTTTGCAGCAAAACATAAAGCAAAAACGGGAAAAGATGGTGTGCAAAGAGAGTGCCTTCAGATTCATGACAGGAACTTGAATTCTCCCACAATTGAGGGAGGATGCATTCATTTTGGGGAAGTGCCTAAAACTTTCATTTTGTGTCAGGCACTTGGATGCTCCCCGTGTCTCATGGGGAGTCAGCCTAGAACCTGCCAGGATTCTCTCTTCCATGGAAAAAAAGAAAAGGAAAGCAATGAAAACGTCCTTGGCTTTAGGCTGAAACTGCATCCAGATACATATGTCAAAGTGCTATCATGAAAATCCTCTGCCAACTGTAGTTTCCTTTCATTCTCTTTTTTTGTGCTTTTCCATTTCTATATTCTTCTCTCAACTTCTGTTTTTGCCTTTGTCCTTTTCCATTTCATGTCCTTGCAAGTTTCTTTTCTCTTTTTTCTTTTTTTCTTCTTTTATGGCATTGGACACAGCGACGTGCATGTTTCCACATGCACGGAAATCCAAGAGGACATACTGGAGTCCATAGCGCAGTTTTCCCTGGGCCCGCCACCTTCCTCCCCCATAGCGCTTCCAACCCTCCCCCGAGCCCCTAAGAATACGGCGTGTTAACGTGGGAGGCCCGCAGCAGATGTATGGCCCAAGTAAGTACTGGTGGTTTAACTCCATTGGATTTGATGCTGTGTACCATGAACTGTTACGCGTCCCAGCCAGATCTGCACCCTTGATACCTCCCAGTTCATGTTGTAGTATATTTTATGATCAGCTGTGCTGTTATGCTTCTGACTCTTCTGAGTTTTTATTTTCTTGCTTCAACTGTTTTCTTGTTTGTTTACAAGAGGGACGATGAAAAGGGAGGTGCAGCTACCGACAAAATGCTCAGACTATGCTTCAAGTTCCTCTACCGGGTCCATATTGCATTCTCGGTGAAAGGGGTGTCGGGGTCAGCATTTCCCGGGACCGGTGCGTTTTTGGTCTTTCCTGTCAAAGGGGCTCATCCATGGTAGCCCCCGATACTTACGCCGGTCAACGATACCTCGTGCCTTCCGCAGTTGTTGGAATTTTCGTTCCTTCTTCACTCTTGTACTTTTACGTAGGAATTGCATGCGCTTTAGCAAGTGCGCCGGAAATTTCTTTTTGCTCAGGTCTCTTGAATATGAAAATCAGGATTGCCTGTTGGGATACTTAGCAACAAATCCTTTCCTGGTGCAATTATGAAAATACCCCTGCAAACCCCATGTAATCTATGTTAACGGATCAAGAAAGGCTTAGGACATGCGCAGAATTTTCAGTTTCAATTCTACTTTAGGAATTAGGTGCGGCTTCACTGGTATTTCGTATAACTGTTTTAGTGCCTTTTTTATTCTCGATGGATGCATATTTCTGCGCCGTGTTTCCACAAGCAATCTCCCCTCACTTCTCCAATCTCGTTCTTCGTGCCATTAGCGCTAATCAGGATTGCCTGTTGGGATTTTAGCAACGAATCCTTTCCTGGTGCAATTATGAAAATACCCCTGCAAACCCCATGTAATCTATGTTAATGGATCAAGAAAGGCTTAGGACATGCGCAGAATGGTCACTTGTCTGACAAAATGGCATGAGCTGGGATTATAGCTAGGAGAGGATCTCTCATTAGGGGAACGGACACGGGAAACTGTGAACTAGCGGAGGATCTCTCATYATGGGAACGRACACGGGAAACTGTGAACATTGTTTTTAAGCCTCTTGGTGTGGATACCTAGGTAGTACACATAAAAAAGGGGGGTAGATTACGGCGTGCYCCGAATTGGGYCTCCACGGCAATTATTCGTCRGTTGGACTGATCGTTTCGTATACCAGCATAGACCCTGTTCAAAATCCCGGTACTACCGACGAACCCAGCTTTGGGTTTCCCGCCTGATCAACTTCCTCCTATGCAYGACAGTCCCCTGCACTTCTCGCCTACCGCTACCTATAAGTACATACTTTCTATAATTCTAAATCCTCTCTCCTTCAGAGGTGGTGGTAAGCGCATAKCCCACCAGCTCTGGGACAGCGTCTTGTTTCTACTTTGCCGACACCTATAGTATACCAAGTATCACTGTCCTGCGCCTTCCCCTGCGCCGCCGCTCATAACCCTCTTCATCTGCCATGCCTCCCTCTATCCATTCCCCTGACTTCACGAC